CTCCCCCGGGCTGCACGGGCACCCCCACCTACCTTGGCTGCACTGCAGTCGGCCACCACATCCACTTTGGGGACAAACTTTGGGAACTCAAGTGCCGCTGGAAAGACAGACAGCGGTCACGGTGCTTTGGGGAGCCAGCCCGGAGCCCCCGCGCCGTGGCTGCGGACCCACAGGGACATCTCACACCCGCGGAAGCAAACCCCACAGCCACTCAGGATTTCAGGCACGGGAGCAGCTGCGATGCTGGAGGCTCAGTGCAGCTCTCCAAGATATTTTGGAAATGTGGATGAAGGCAGGAACTGCCTGCAAAGCCCAAAAAAGCCCAGTGTGGCGGGCAGCCATGGAGCAACAGCACACGGCAGGGGAAAACTGCCCTGAAGCCTCCTAATCCTGCCCCAGCACCATAACCCCTCCACCTCCTGCTGTGCATTGCAGTCTATTAGGATAACAATTTAAGCAATTCATGCACCCACCCTGCATGCCATGATGCATCTCCAAGCCAACGGTACTCACGGTCTCTGTATCTGACTCCTACCACGTCTTCTGCTTGCTCAGCGGAGCTCAGCAAGGTCAGAGGATTGTGCTCTGTGGTTTTGCAGAAATTATGAGCTTGTAGATTAGGATCCAACTCATACAGATGACCTTCAAAAAAATATTCTTGATGGTGAGGGGCTATATTGGTTTGTTTGAAGACAGCATCTAAAAACTTGGTGGTACTGAAATGAAAAAGAAATGAAAGGATGGGGAATAAGCAATGAGGCGACTGCTCAGATTTCCATCACTTTCACAGCCTGCTGCCCTCTTCTCGTAGCAAAACATCCCCCGAGGTCAGCGGAGCCCCTTGGACAACCTCCCTGGGGCTCTCCATGTGCCATCCCAGGAACCAACGGCTGCCGGTTAGTGCACTCCCCAGCAAAGGCTGGTTTGAGCCCAGTTTGTTTTAACCTGGTTTAGCTGTGGTGCAAAGGGAACGGGCGCTCCCCCAGGGTCACCTACTGAAATGAGGGGCTGAGGCTCCTGAGCTCAATTCCCAAATTCACTTTTAGCACAGTCTTGGCATCCTTACGTGTTGTAGGAGTGGATGTAGATGCGATGCGAGGAAGCCTGCTGCAGGGAGAAGACGTCGACCACGATCCTGTGCAAAATGTCATTGGTTTCTGCAAAAAACTGGTCGAATCCCCAGCACTTCTCCTGATCCACCTCCAAGATGTTAGCCAAAATGGGTATCAGCTGGTCCTTCAGCCCCCTGCAGCAGCAGCAGAAGAGATGTTTGCACAGACTGGCATAACCCTGAGCCATAAAGGCGGTGACCCGCGGGGCTGGGGAGGGGTGCAGCCCCTCTCCTGGGGCTGAGCTCCCATACCGAGGGAGCCGCTGCCCTGTCTTGCACCCCCTTTTCCCGGCTGTAAAGCAAAGCCCTGGTCTGAGAGCTGTGACATCTGCAGATGAAAAGCTCATCTGCCTCGTTAACGTGCTGTCTGAGGCAGGATGCCCTCTCCAGCCGTGGTGCCAGGACGTAGGACCCGCAGCAGGAGCTGAGCCCGGCAAGGGGCACTCACGTGGAGAGCCGGCAGGTGATGGGCAGCTCGTAGCTCCACTCGATGCTCCCGTTCTCCTGCCTCTGGACCCCCGCGATGGCTCCAGGAGGCTTCTCGGTGGTAATTTTATACCTGTTGAAAGAAATTGTTTGCAGCTGAAACGAGCCAAGTGACCTCTGTTTGGGCACTTGGGTTCAGCAAGGAGGGAAAGGGCAGAGCATGGATGGGCTGGGAAAGACACGATTCACAGACAGCAAAAAAATGCACAGAAGGAAAATACTTCAGGAAACAGTCAAAAACTTTCAAGCAAACATTAACCCTGCCTCCTCTTCCAGCTGTTTAGCCACAAAGTCACGGGAATGCATTTTGAGGGCAAATGCGGTAAATGGGGCACAGATCCTTCACCACACTCTCTATGGGCTACATTTCAGGGCTTTCTGGGCTCTATGGGATTAAATGAGCAGTAAACTACAGCGCATAGTCACCCAGTGCTGCTGGCACGCACCAAGCCACAGCCAGGTTGTCTTGCAGCCCCCAGGGCCACCAGCCACGGTCCCACCTCCCCATGCCGCAGCACCCAGCCCTCCCAGCTGGACGCGGTACCTACATGATCTCCTTGTTCCTGCGAGGTCCCCCGAAGGGGACGAAGGGGAGGCTGCCGGTGGCAGCGTGGTAGAAGGTGACGCCGATGCTCCAGAGGTCGACGGTGACGCCGTACGCCTTCTGCTGCGGCTTGCGCAGGACCGCTCGCTCGTACATGTCCGGGTGCTGCAGGGATGAAGCAGAGAGCAGCACTGCAACGCGTCCAGCGGGTTTGCAGCGGGCATCGAGCCTTGGGTGCTGGGATTGAAAACTGACTGCTCGCTTTGACCTCTTCTACTGCTGGGTCCTCCAAACAAAACGTCACCTGTAACTCTACAACAAGAATGCTGAGCTCCCCTCTTCGAAAAATGTGGCCTCTCTGAGACTGGGCTCTCCAAGGCACTGCTGCTCTCTACAGGTTGCCCAGCTGTTGGATGGAGGGATGGGGACCAGCTTCCCCCAGGACTCCCAAGGGCCACCGGACTGGCAACACGCCATACTCACAAGATATTCCTCCGTCCCGTAGACGGACACAAACTTTTCATCATCATCCAGCTCTCGGGCGGCCCCAAAATCCGTCAGCTTATAGATGCTCTGCCCATCTTCCCCCATCAGCCGCATGATGTTCCCGGGTTTGATGTCCCTGTGGACAACGCCGTTCTCGCGGAGGTGGTAACCCACGCCGCACAAGCGGGGAAGGCAGCATTCATGCGCGGGGCTGGAGCAGTTTGCTCCAGCGGGTTTTGTTTAAATGTAGGAACATGAGAAGGGCCGGAGAGGGGACAAGCCCCAGGGCTGGTTGCACTTAAATGGGGACCAATGTGACTGGGGGAATGGAGAGGATGAGCAAGCATCTGCCCTCGTGCCCCTCTGTTGCAGGGCACAGCCTGTTCCCAGGGCTGCTTCCCGGAGCAGGTCTGCAAGGAGAAACCCTCAGGCTTCCCCTGAACACAGATCTCACAAACCCACCCCATTTGGGGGTGCAATTTCTGACGGCTCAGCCCAGCCCTCACGTCCATAACCCAGGGCTGGTGCCCACAGGGTCCCACCAGCACCACGAGGTCCCCAGCCTGCAGCTGCCCGTCCCGGGCCGGGGGCACGGGGACCCCGCACTCACCCACGCACTGCAGCACGATGAGGAACTCGGACTCGGCCAAGCCGAAGGCATTCGCCGGGTCCTCCAGCACGTTCAGCAAGCTGCCACTCGAGCAGTACTCCATCACCAGCACCTTC